CTTTTTCATTCATCATAAGCTAGTTTCAAATGACCAAGGGGAGTTAATACTCAAGTCTTTAAGGTGCCTCCAAACCACCTATCAGCTGGTTTTCTTTCTTGCTGTGGTCTGAGTCTCAGCTGAGGTATGGTCTAAGAGGACAAAGAGTACATGGGAGACTTGGAAAAAACCTTATGCCCAGCACATGCCATGCACATGGCATACCTAGGCTATGTGTACAGACCTTGGGGAAGAGGGGAAGTATTATTTGGAAGTATTATTTGGCTTTCTCTTATTCTTCACAGAAGATTGTTCCTTTTCCTTCTCATGGGCTGAATCGACATTTTAAGGCAGTGATTCTTAAAGGGAATGGGGAAGTGCTACTGGCATCTAGTAGTTAGAAGATAGGGAGGCTGTTGAACATGCTTCAATGCACAGGGAAGTTACCCCACCCCCCAAACTCCCCCACTTCTCTAAACAAAGAATTCTATTTTTTTTATTAAAAAGTTTATTTTTACATCATTTTGCACATTAAACAAAGAATTATTAACCAAAATATTAATTGGTTTAAGGACATAAATGTCCCATAATTGGTGTGAGGGGATTGTGGTTCAAGAAGAGAAGAAAGTAGTATTGATATATATGTCCAAATTTTAGGGTACTTTGGATAAGTAGGCTTTCTGGATAGATTGAATCCTATTATTCAGTGAAGCAGCCAGGTTGCTAGACTCTTTTGACAGTTGTTAGGGTTACCTGAGCTTTTTTTATTTCAGCCTGTGCTGCACTAAATACTATGGAGTACGGGAAAGGCAGCCCCTCTATTCTTAAAGAGTTAAGAGTTTAAATAATTAGAATACACATACATATAAGACTCTAGTGCAGATGTTGATAGATTATAAAATAAAGAATGGAAAGTATTTCTTCATAATTTTTGAAAACTTAGTTTTTAAGCAAAGGGGAATTGGTGTATAGAAAAGGCATTTTACATTTTGTGTAGTGAAAGAGTATCATAAACAGAAGTAGAGATTATCAGAGAATAAGCCAGAATATAAGCAGAAACAGCTGAAGTGAAGTGATGGTACCAGGTTAAGGAAAGCTGAGTAATGTTTCGGAGAGGTAGCAGAGTTGTCATAATGAGAATTTAGATTTGCAGGGTTAGGGAAGCATTCAGTGTATGTGTGTGTGTTTCTGTATGTGTTTTAAAGAAAGGATTATAATAGAGTGATTATGAGTATGGTAATGCGTAGGCAAATGCTTTATTTGCCTATGTTGGAAGGAAGAGAATTGATTTTTGAGATACATTAATTTTTTAAAAAGAAATTGAAAGCAAAGCAAGGTTCCTTTACCTTGTGGAGTTAACAAAAACAGCCAAGAATGGTCCCCTGGGAAGGAGAATGATTTACTGATGGATCTTTTTTCTTTCCTCAGGAACTTCAAGGAGTGTCCAGCAGTTTCTGGCTCTGTGTGACAGGAGTGAAACTTCCCAAGGGGTCAAGTACACAGGAAGGACTTTGAGCTACCAGAGTCTCCCCCATCGTTCTAGAGCAGATGCGTCCTGGGGACAATGGTCAGAGACTAACCAGCATATTGGGGCCCGATTCCTGAATACTCCAGGATGCAAGCCTCAACTAACCCACACTGCCACATTATTACCAGAAAGACACCAGGGCCATCAGGTTCCTCATGCTCAGTCTTTTGGGGAGCTTTTCCATTCACCTTCCCATACCCCCATGGTTTACCCTGTGGCCTCACCATCAGGTAGTCTTTGTGTACCCTTGAGATCAGGTTGGAATTCAAGTACTATTCCAGGGTCTCAAGCCTCGGGTCCTCGAAGAGTAGATATACCCCCAGATGGTGACTGGAGGCAAAGCAGTTATAACCTACAATCTAGGCACAAAAGGACAGGAGAGGAGTTTCTGTTTGTTTTAACAGATGCCCCCAGAAGGGAACAGATCAGGACAAAAGCCCTGCAGCACAGCAGGTGGTAAAAGTCACCCCTTTCCTTTCTTGGAGCCAGTTTTCTCCATAAAACTGTACTGTAGCAGATTTGGTACCTGTCATCCTTACCAGGGTTGTGCTAGTCTAATATCAACATAGTGTTGGCAGTTTCTTCTAGGGGTGCAAAGAACCTCTAATGACACCTGGCTCTTTGAGGAGGAATATTTGAAGTTCCAATTTCCATTTATCTAAAAGGAATTAGCTGCTGTTAGGGTTTTATTTGAGTCACTTTAAAGGTAAATCCATATTATTTTGGACAGCAGTCATTTCTTAGGATCATAGGGTTACTATTTTATTCCTTGATACTTTATGCTCCCATCTGAACCTGAGCACTCAACCACTGATCGCTACTACCAACTTCTTGCCTTTGTTTTATCTACCTATCCCTATTATCTGACTTGACTTCCCCAGACTCCATCCTAGAGGCTTATGTAGTCCAATGGTCATGGTCTTAACTACATCATTCAGGACAGCCCACCTGCACAGGTATTATGGACTGTCAGCCTTCCCTGTGCCCCTAAACTTCAGGCCTAAAATGCAGAGCTGCCAACACAATATTTACCCTTCTGCATAGGCATACTAACATACCCTCCCACTCTCAGCAGCAGAGTCATTACTGCCACTTGCTCAGTCGCTGTTATAAACCCTGAGTCAGCTGAACTATTTTAGGGCCAAATGTACTGTTTTTGTAAAGTATTTTTCATTAATAAATCTATAAGATAGTTCTATTTAACCCCTTTTGTCATTTGTTCGTTTAATACTTTCTGTATATTGTTCTTTTGTATCGGTGTGGGGAGGTCTGGATAAGCAAGAAATCACCAATTCCAGAAGCTTGAGCTTCTAGAGAGCCTTGGCAAAAAGCACAAACATACCATGTATGTATATATGTATGTATGTACCTATGTGTGTGTGTGTGGCTTTTGGCTAAGTGGAGGTAAGGAGCCAAAGAGGAGTTGAAGGATGGATACTCAAGATGGGAGTCAGTGGGCCCTAAATAGGAGTGACTTTCCTCTTTATTACCATTGCTAGTATATTTCCTAATCCTTTCTTGCATAATCAATATACTACATACTCATTCCCTTCTTATGGAGAGTGGGATTTGAACTCCTCTTACAGAATCTTGCACTATGTAGTCTATCAATGTTGCCCTCCCTCTATTTTGCAGGATGTGCCTCCTGTCTCTTCTTTGCTGTCATACTACTTCTTCCCTTTATTTTCACTGTGAAAGTATTTCACTTCCCTACCAGAAAGATCCCTTTTTACCACTCCAAATTCTCTTCCCTCTAAAAGATACTTTGTGGGCTCCCTTTGCAAAAAATACCCTTTGGGTATTACCTTTCTCATTACCCTTTGGTCTGATATTGACAAAAAGAAGAGGTCCAAAGATGCACTTTAAAACTTTTGACTACTGCTTACCTAATTTACACCATCCACTATGACATAGGAAATAGGCAGTAATTTCTCACCCCATTCTACCAGGATCCTATGCCATTAGTACATATTCATCTTAGTGAATACATTGGCCTCTCTCTGTGATTAGTATATCTGCTCGTGTCACATATGCATTCTCTTCTAATAATTGATTGACTAATCATTTATTTTCCTGTTAACCCTTCCCCATGAATGTTCATCTCTATAAAGTTTTCATCAGTCACCTGTTACAGATTCTGCATGTGCACAGAAATTTATGAGGAACTAGTTCCTTTGTTACTCCTATATTCCAAATTTCTATTTTCTGAATGAATCAAGGAAGGCCATGTCCTGTAGGTGACTTTGAACATCTTTGAACATCTGAACTTGGTTGGTCAACACTTCCTTACCTCTCAACCATTTCCATTCTTAACCCTTAGAGCCTAGTTTGCTCTATCTGCCTTCTTACTCCATACCTTCAGACTCTTGACAATTGTAGATTCTAAACACAAAGTACAGATACTCTTTATTTATTTAAAGATTTATTTATTAATGGAACTGGTGTACAGGCCAGAGGTCCAGGGGAGGTGAGAGGATTCACCAGAGACAGAGTCTGACAGAACAGGCAGACTGACAAAGTAAGTACACTGCTGAGGGGAGCAAGTGGCAAGAAAGGAGAGGTCTGCTGTGCCTTATGGGTCACTCACCTCCCTGGCTGGGATTGAACTGGTGCTGAAGCAGCTGCAGCTAGCTTCATAGAGCTGCGCTTTAATCCATCAGGAAAGGCCCAGATCTCTTTAAAACTACATTTTAAACGGGCAGCACATACATACAATGTTTTCTCTAGTCTCTGTTCCTTGCCAACCAACCCTTTAGCACCCAGATCTGGTAGCCAAATTGTTACAGATTTGTCTTACTAGTGAGACATTCTGAGTTGTCATCATGTCTCCCCATCTTACCTGAGGATCTATGAGATCCACTCTTGTTTCCTAGCACTCACTCACTGCAGCAGCTAGCTACAGACCTCTCTCTTCACTCTTTTGTTTCTGCTTGAACAGAATTTTAACCTGATCCCTTGGCCTCGTCCTGTTTCTCTCCTAAGTCTAAGTAATTTTGCCCAAGTCCCTAGAGCCTACCCCGCCCCCGCCCCCGCACGCGCGGTGCATGCCGGTCCTAGCCCCTCTGTAGGGAAAGAGGGTCCGCCATGTTCCCCGGCGGC